CTTGTTTTTAAAATTTATTTTATTTTTTTATTTTTTAAATGTTCATTTTAATCTCTTATTTATTAATTTTGAGTCAATTTAATTCCTTTGGAACAATAACTATTTTTACATTTGAGACACAATTTTAATTTTTTTTACTGATTTAAAAATTAAAAGTCATTTTATTAGATTTAATTACATGAAAAATATTAAACATGCATGTAATTCAAACAAAAAAGTATTCTAAATATAATAAAAATTATATAAAAATAAGTTTTAAAAGTAATTGAAAATTTAATTAAAAAAAATCATTTTATATTATTTTTAAATTTTTCGTAAGGTATATTTTTCATACAATTTAGAGTATGTTTATAATCTTTTTTAATTTAAAAGTCAATTCAATTTTATAATTTTTATTGTTAAATCTAATGTTACAAGTTTCGTATTTTGAATAAATCAAAAGTGGATTCAAAATAGTGTTACACAATTGAAGATGAACATTATTTTAAAATGACTAAATCGATTCAAATATAAAAGATAAAGAACAAAAATAAATATTTTAACAAATAAATGATTAAAATAAATATAAAAATTAAAATAAAATATCATAAATATAATTTAGATAATTTCTTATTAATTATCTTAATATTTTATTTAAAATTCTTATTTTTTTATCCTACCATTCATATGGTTGCAACTTTCCTTCTCATTTTAAAAATTTAGTCTTTTCCTCCTTCTGAAAAATACAGGAAGCTTTTTTCTTTTTTTCTTTTTTTTTTTCATTTTTGAAATAGCATTACGACCATCACATAACAATAAGATATTCACCTGTAGATTGAGTTCTTGTGAGGTAGGATTTTTCTTTATTTTTTTATTCTTTTTCAACATTTTATTCATTTAATAATGTTCCATTTTTTCTTTTTTCTTCCCCACTCTAAACAAGTAATTTTTTTCATATTGATTATTATTTTATTTATTTCTTTTTCTCCCACTCTATACAAACGAAATCAATATTTTGAAATTTTTTTCCAGTAAATTTATCAAAAAATAAATAAATTTGATTATATTTAATTATTAAAATAATGTCATTTTCACAATTTTTTAAAAATAAAACTTTTTTAAACATACTCAATCAAATTGTCATAATTGCATTTTGTGTAACGACTTGTCTATATAGTACACTAAACAAAGTCACTATTACGATTTACGAGTAGAGAAAGTTAGTCTACTAAAATATTTAAGATTATAAAGGAGTAAACGTGTCATACATATATATAGAATATGAATATAAAAGTAAAACACCTATATTAATATATGCAATATATATGCATACAATAATTCAAAAATAATCATATGTCATAGTGTCGATCAAGTACAATTATACAAGTTACACATAATAACATCACCTCCAACTAATCAGACCATACCGTTTTCTAGTAATAACTCCTTGAGTATAGCCTTGATTTGTTTACATACAACGTATGATTATCGCAATTTAAATCACATGAAAACAGGAAGAGTAAGCTAGAGTTTGAAAACTTGAAAATATAGAAGAAGAAAAATTTATAACCTACAACATCATAGCAAAACATACATGAAAGTCAAACACTCCCAAAGTAAATATGTTTCTCATCCACACCATGTCAAGCAAAACATTCAACAATGTACATGATCACACCACCACACACACCATATGCAAACATCTCAACCAATGCGTTGTCACGCATTTACCTATGAAAATATCCTAACAACATGAGCAATCTAAGTGACTCCACCCTACCAAACCAACCCAATAGTTTTTGCACCCGAAGCGCCTGCTCGATCACAACAAAATGGGATACCAATGCCTCTTTTGGTTTCTCAGGTCTTGTCATTTACATTCGAAAAGTTTGGTTCTATCGTTGGGAACAGTACAGTTGGATATAGGTTTACCGTGACCTTGATATGCATTTCCAAGTTAAATATGGAGTTCAAGCACTGATTATCCTCAAGGAACCACCAACCTTTCCAGGTACTTGGTTAAAGGTTGTAACCTTTGACCTCTTACCTTATTTAACCACTAACTAAGGGCATAGAAGAGACATCAACACACCTCAAAACTCACTCCAAGAGAGACATCTACTCAGGGAGGATTTTCCAACAATGGTCTTCTTAAGAACCACACCAAGATTCCTTATGTAGGATTTTCAATTTTCAAAAATAATTTTTCTCCCTCAAATTTTAGGTTAGCCAACATGTTTTATTGTCGTACCTCATTCTCAACATCCACACCTCGTGCATACATCATCTATATACATTACATCTAGTCAATACATATAAAGATTAACAACAACATTATTCGACGCCATACAAACATTTATATATGTTATTTCAATCAACATACATAGGACAATCTCTATGCACCATATACAACATGCAATATAACTCAAAAAGTCTATTCATGTTCACCATACAACATTCCAAAATCGCACCAATCATCTAAGCATCTCATGCTTGTCACAATATACCTTGCGCCTTACACCATCGAGGTAGGGAGCTTTTTGCCTCGTTCATGCTCGACGCCATCCAAACCATGCCCAACGTGATCGGGGTGAAGATCCTTTATAACCTCATATTTGGTGTGGCAAAACCCACATCTAACCTCATATTGGACAAAGAGTCTCTATCTGACTCATGCTTGGTGTCACCTTAGTAATGTCCAATGTCAACAAGTTAGAGAATTCTTACACTCTCACGTTCGGTGCCATTCAGCTCGTGCCCAATATCATCCTAACTCGAGATGAGTCTCTTTACTCACGTCCGATGTTGCCTATCTTGTGCTCGACGTGACTAAGATAGAATCCTCTGGTTAGAACCATGCCCGACACCATGAAGGTGTGCTCAATGTGACTGTGATTTCTACACAATGTAGATCATGAAAATCACCTCATTCACCTAAAACTTAGGAAATCCAATACATGTATTGCATTCAATAGTATACACACATCACATAGAACTGAAAATCATCAAGAAACAACACATGCAAGTCAACTTGCATCATTCACCAAAATCACCCTCATAGATGATGAAAACAACAACAATAATTCAGCAAATCACCAAACCAATTCATCCTAACTTCACTTACCTTAGACTCCAGCCACCAAGAAGAATAAATGAGGAAGAGGAAGAAAAGAACTTCGAGAAACTTTGCACCCACACCAATTCTCAGCTCCAACAACTTCAAATCACCACCCTAGGATTAAGGAACCTCTCACACCTCCAAGAAATTCAGAAAAAGAAGAAGATTTAGAAATCCAGAGTTTCTTACTCTACTATCTCTCTAAAATTACTTAGAAGTTGAGTTTGCGAGACTTAACTCTCATGGAGAAACCTTATATACTTTTTCACTTAGGATCAACTGGACCATTGATCAGAGACCCATACCGTTTACCCAACTCACCCAAGTATAATGTTACATTTTGTGTTCCAATTTTACTTTTTAACAATTTTTGTCTCCAATTTTTTTTTTTGAATTATGCCTTTAAACTTTTAAATTATTACAATTTATGTTTTCCTATCAACTATTTGTTAAAATATTAACGATTTGTTAACTAATGATATGATAATTGTGAATAAACTAAGGATATAACATATTAATTGTTAACTAAATAAAAAATAAAAAATATATATTAATTAGTTTAATTTTGATTTTAAATGTATAAATATAATACTTGAATCACTCGAATATCAAATTTATTTAGTTTGATCTGAATTAAAAAAAAAAATTGATCAATTTAATTGATTTGAATTATGAGATTTATCTCATATCCGATGAACACCCTAATCGTGTATACTTAATATAGCTTTATTCTTATACCTTAGAAGTTTGCCGTTTGTTTAATACGAGCACAAACGACAAATTGATACGAAATTCCCCCCTTTTTATCCTTCGTTAACCCTTTGAAGGCCCACAGAGCAACTTAAGAAATTAAATAGATTCCCCAATTGTATAAAAGCACCGTCTTTCAAAACACTTTCTTTTGTATTGGAGGGTGCAAATTTAACCTTTTGTTGCTCATACCCTGCTTTATGCATTCATACTGCAAAATCCAAGCAAGTAAAATGGCAAAAAAAGTTGCCAACAGGAATGGCAATTGAGTTTCGCTCAAATCATACACACGGGGTCACTCAGCTGACGGAGGGACATATCCCCCTTAAGTTTCTTTACCATTTTTTAGCTACATTCATCGAATATTCTAATCTTATTATTTTTTCTGAATTATATTTTTAATTTGTGCATAAATTAATATTAATTTATTAAAAATTTATTTATATTCATATATAAATCTTATTTTTATTTTCTATAATCTTATTTTTAACTTTTAATTTGTGTATAAATTAATTTTAATTTATTAAAATTATTTTAATATTTTTAATCTTCTTAAAAATGCATATAAAGAAATTTATTTTCCCCTCAGTCAAATACCCTGGTCTTTCCTCATAAAAAAAATAGTAATAGATAATAATAATTTATACTGGCAGCAGACAATTTTTTTGTTGTTGTTACTGGGTTATTATTGGCAAGCACATCCACTGTTCTTTAACTTCCGGACAAAAATCTTAGCAATAATGTATCCAAGACGGAGTTTATATTTTATATAATATAAGAAAAATGCTTAAGCTGAAAAAAAAGTGGAAAACATAATATAAACTTGTATAATAAAATGAATGAAAAATATTTTATTGTGTGGATGGATGATTTGGCCACTCTCCATCAGAGGAATTAGCATTGCTCATAATATAATAAAATTTTCTGCGTGACATTGTGTTTTTAGCCCTATCCCATGATTGCTTCAGAAAACAGAAGAAAGCCCTGAGCCGCAGAACAAGATGAGAGTAATATTAGAAAGGTTTTGGAATTTGGATCAATGAGAGCCACCAATCTGTAGCCAGTAACAGCTTTTATGAAGCAGCATAGTACGTCATTTGATTGTATGGCGAGAAAACCAGAGCCAACAGAACAAACAACATTACTACGGAGGGATTATCAACCATCATGTCAAAAATCCATAAACATTAAAATCTCTATCCATGGGAGTAAAAAGAATGACAATATCAATATAGTACATGGTATAGTTCATCTATATAAAAATAACACGTGTGAGAAAGAAAACAAAAAGGAGAAATTCTAACCTAGCGAATTCACCTGAAGCAAACATATCGTATTTTTCTTTATTTATTTATTTATAAATAATATGTCTAAATCTAAGACGAAGGAATGTTTGGCCGTTATTTCCACTTATGAAATTCAGGTTGTTCTTGTTCCTTAAACCTTGCGAACAAACCTTCGATGGCAACATCGAATGCGTCCTTCACACCCTCTAACCCGTCTTTCGTTTTCGCGTACACCAACCTCGGAATGTACTCGATCACTTTCTCCCTCATTTTCCTCACCTCCTCCTTGCTGAACCTCTCAAGCACGCCTTTCACGGTCAAACTCCCATTCTTCACCGCGTTCCGGTCTATGAAAACCGAGTAACTCTCCGGTTCACCCGGCAAGAACCACTGGTACTGCAGATACGCGGTTCGCCGCCAGAAGAAAACCGGAATCGAACCGGCCACCATGCAATCGAAAATGGAGCGGCGCGTGAAGCTGTCCCCCCTCGGCTGCAAGCAGAAATCGGAGTCCAGAAAAGTCTCGAGGATCGCCGACGTGCCGTTCGAGCACCGGGTCCCGGCGCAGTTCACCTCGCGGCACGACTCGCCCGCGTCGCGGCACTGACTCAGCAGAACCCCGCGGAAGTCGTTGCGGAAGGCGCGGCGAGGCGCGCCGGCGAAGCAGAAGAGCGCGTGGCGTGGGCGCGCGCGGACGAATTGCTGCCAGCGCGTGAGGTCGGATTTGGAGCGCGGGTGGAATCCGGTGGGGTAGGGAACACCGATGTCGAAATAGTCCCAAGGATTACGCTCGATGAGAAGGCGCGTCACGTTTCTTATGCCCGCCTTGTAGATGCAGCTAGAACCCCAATCCTCGTCTTTAGAGCGACGAAAATCCCACGTGATGCGCCCCATGGTAATGAAGTGATCCCAGCCGTTGGATCTTTTAAAATAGGGTTGGTCCTTAATCCAGCTTAACATCATATCGCAGTGGCGATCGCGTTCCTCTGCGGTTGAATTTAGCCACAGGTACTTCCCCACTGCGAGTCCAGCGTAGAACGGGATGTAGAAGGCCGTAGCGGATTCGGGATCCATGACCCTGCACTTGTGGTTGATTATGCGATCGTGGAAGAGGATTTCGGTGACGAATTGGTCCGTCCAGTGCCACGCCGGGAGGAGATCCTCCGGGACGATTCCGGCGAGGGCGGCGGCGGCGGGTTGGCCGAAGCCGTGGTTGGAGAGCGCGTCGCAGCGGGAGCTCCAGGGGTTGAGATTGTCGCAATTTTGGAGGATTTGGTGGTTGAAGGTTTCGGGGAGGTGGTAGACGAAAAGGTTGCCGGAGGCGCATTGTTGGAGGGCGCGGGCGGAGTAGTGGACGGCGGGGAGAGGAGAGGGAATGGAGGAGGGGAAGCTACGGAGGCTGCAGAGGAGGAGGATCTGGATGAAGAGGACGGTGAGGATGATCCATGTGCGAGGGTTTTGGGGGGAGAGAGGGGTTTGGAGGAGCGTGGTGAGGGTAGTGAAGGAGGTTTTGGTGTTTAGTTGTTCGGGGGATTTGGGAAGCATGTGAGACAAGTTGGGAGGAGTGTTGTGTGAGGGATGGAAAGTGATGCCCTGCTGCTGCCTGCTGTGGTTTGGGTTTAAGTCTAAGTTTAAACTTTAAACTTTAAAGCTTGGGTTGTGTCATGTGTGGGTACTGGGGATAGAGATTGAACAATGCTATCATATGTACACTGACACGTGTATCGTCCGATTACCGTCTGCCAACCGCAACCGACAGGGGATTCACTTCAAAAGGGACACGTCCTCCTGTGTGTTGCGCCTGTTATGTAAGGTTGTTCACTAAACTATTTTTATTTTCAAAATTAACCTAAACTATTTTTTTATTAAAACTACATTTTAAATTTAGAATAACTAAACTACTATTAAAAAGTAGTTCACCACACTTTAATTATAAAATATGCTATAATAACTTTTTCACAATTATTATACTCAATTTGTATATATAATATGTAAAAAAAAATTAAATGTTGTTACCTAATTATACATTAATATAAATAATTAAAATATTCACTTTTTAATAATTATTTGACAAATTATATTTTATATATTTTTTAATTGATTTGACTGTGTATATATGTATTAAAAGTTAAATTTTCTTTTAAATTACATTAACTACAAATTAAATTATTTAACATTTTAGAAAAATCTTACATTAATTTAAATAATATTTTTTTTTTGTTTTAATTTGTTTTATTTATATGTAGCTTTACATTACTCTTTTAGTCAAATGTAACGAAAAAACGATACTTTTAGGGGTTAACCGTTGTTTCCTTTAATATTATTACATAATTAAGTCTCAAACTCAAAAATATTAATTAAGTTGAAATAAATTCTTTATCTATTGATAGGGCTATTAAAAATTATTTCAAGTTAAATTATTAGAAAACAAAATTAAATCAGACTACTAAAAAACTCAACTATTTTTTACATTAACTAAATTGAACTAAATTTTAAGTTTGATTTTTAAAATCTAAATTACTATAAAAATCACCCTATTTCGGTTTAAATCATAAGAAATTTTTTTATTTAAAGCACAAAAATAATTTAATTCATTACAGAGTATAATTTATTTTGTACTTTTAGAATGTTGTTAACTAAATTACTAAATACTTCAGGTTAATTTATCTAAATTATTTCATATATGCTTAGATACCAATTTAAAATTACGTTCATAAAAAAAAAAAAAACATACCTTGCAATTAAGAAAAAATAAAAGTTTATGAGTATAATTTTTTTTTCAGTTACCAAATACGCATCCCTGGATAGTTTAGTTTAGTTTGATGAACTATTATAATAGTTAAGTTCAGTTATCATATAGTTTAGTTTAATTTTTTTGAACGCCCTCTATTGTGTTTTATTTACCTCTCTAATTTCTTCACTACCTCTTCATGAATGACCTTCGCTTTGACATACATTAAAAATGCAAAAAACTTTGTGAACATCATTGCATTTATATTGTGTAACGTGTATGTTTTCTTTTTATCAGTAAAAATCACCAACAAAATTTTCTATTCATGCAATATATATAGATGGTTTTACGGTGAGAAAATTTACCAATAAAATAATGTTAGTATGTTGAGTTTTTTCTAACTACTGTAATTAAGACTTTCTTAGTTAGATTTTGAAAAATTCCTACGGAATTAGATCTTTTAAAAAATCAAGATTTATTCACGCTTGTAGATTTTATTGGAGAGCAAATATGGGTGGAAAAACTACCAAATACAAGGAATAGGGGCTTTGTACTAAAGGAAAAAATAAAAAAATTCAAGAAAATTTTGAAAGCATGGGATTAAGGGAAATCAAGTGACATGAAAAAGGAGATAGAAGAGGTAACAAAAAAATTAAATGTTGTTGGGACAAAAAAAAGTGATATTGTGAGTTTGTGCGAGAGGAAGTTAATAGAGAGGAAGAAACTTCAAAAGAGGTTTTGGAAGTTGTTGACAAAAAAAATCTTTTGTTTCAAAAGTCAAAGGTTATATGATTGTTGGAGGCGGATGGAAACTCGAGATATTTCCGTACAATTATTAATTGGAGAAGAAATAAAAACATGCTGAGGAGATTACATACAGAGGATAAATGGTGCAAAAAGTCGAATAAAGTAAAAGAAAAAGTTAACAACTTTTTTAGTAGGGGTTTTTGTGAGCAATAGTGGGTGAGGCCGAGGCTTGATGGGGTTCCATTCCAAAAGATTACTAGAGAAGACAATCTAATGTTGGTAGCTAAGTTTGATGAAGAAGAAGTAGGTGAAGTAATGTGGGAGTGTGTAAGCTTGAAAAGTCCAAGGGCGAATAGACTAAATTTCAAGTTTATTAAGGCTTTTTTGGGAGGTTATGAAAAAATAGTTTTTTGTGTTATTGGAGGAATTTCATACAAATGAAAAATTCTCATAAGGAACAAACTTGACTTTTATTGCTCTTATAGCAAAGGGAAATGATCAAAGATGATTGGGTGATTAATTATAGTCTCATGTCCTTTGTTGGTTGTATTTATAGATACTCAAAGATATTATCAAGAAGATTGAAAAAGTTGTTAGACAAGGTTATTGATCAAAGACAAAGTATTTTCCTAAGTGGAAGACAACTTCTACATAGTGTCGTAATTGCTAATGAAGTGGTGGAAAAAGTTGAGAGGATGAAAAAAAAGTATGTTATTTTTAATGTAGATTATGAGAAATCATACAACTTGGCAAATTGAGAGTTTTTATTCTATATGTTGAAGATGTTGGGCTTATGTGATACTTGGATAAAGTGAATCAATTGATGTATAACCTTGACATCTATATTTATGTTAGTAATGACAGTCTAACTAGTGAATTTGGGATGGGAAAAAAGACTTAGATAAAGGGGTCTTTTAGTAACATTTCCTTTTTTAGTAATGACTAATGACCTCAGTAGATTGATGAGATTAAAAAATATAAAAAAAAATAACATTAAAAATTAATTATCTTTACAAATTAAAAATTCAAATTCGAGACTTTAAGATTTAAAAATTAAGCATAATACTAACATATTTAATAAACATTGATAATTTTTAAATATTTTTAAATAAATATTTTAACCTCATTAATGATAACAATAAAAATCTTGAAAACTACTATGGAAAAAAAATTACAGTTAAGCCATGACGGTCGTGGCTAAGTATACTATATATCTCATCCCTTTATTTTGCTCAGTTTTTTTTTTTTTCTTATGTATGGTTTTTGAATCTTCTTATGGTCAATTACCAATTGTTTCATCTTCTTCGGTGACGCAAGAGAAACAATTATGGATGTAGCCATGTTCCATGGTCACGTATTTCTCATCCATCAATTTGTTTAGTTTTTTATTTTTTAAATCTTCTTTTGGTCATTACCAATTATTTCATCTCCTTTATTCCGTTAAATTTCTACAGTGGTACACAAAAAAAGGTCATTAATTGGCTCATTAAAAAAAAGATTAATTACTATGTGGTAACATTTTTTTTTACGTATTATTGTTGTTTATGACGATGATAAAACAAAAATCCGTTGGACTGTTGCATATAGCTATGAAAGAGCACGTAGATAAAGCCATTTCCATTGATTCTAGACAACGATGATTCTACATTTAACTATTTAAGTATTAATACATATAAAAGTGTTGCAAATAATTATTAGTATTTCGCATTTCTTTTATAATATGTCTCAACCATAGTTTTTTTTTTCATTCGAAAATTATTTTATTAATATATATA